AGGGACTTCCCTGGTGGTTCTGTGGTTAGGAATCCAGGTGTCCACTGCCAGGGGCCAGGGCTCAATCCCAGGTCAGAGAACTAAGATCCCACAAGCCGAATGGTGAAGCCCCAACAGTAAATGAAAGAAAAGGGGTCTCATGCTATTAAAAAATATACTATTTCATATTTTAGTGATTCTTCATTGGAAATATAATTCAAAGTACCGGGGTCTGCCATGCTGCCAGAAATATAAGGCGAAGTAAGTCAGGAAGAGAGGACAATATAGTATATTAGTGTCCTTATGTGGAATCGAGAGAAATGGTACAGATGAACCTATTTTCAGGGCAGGAAAAGAGATGCGATGTGGATCGCAGACACGGGGCCTGGGGGTAAAGGATGGGAGGGATGAATGGGGGGGCACCGACGTGTGCACTACAATAAGTAGCTGGTGGGAAGCCGCTGCGTAATATGGGGAGCTCAGCTCGGAGCCCTGTGATGACCCGGAGGCATGGGAGGGCCCTGGCGGGGAGGGCCCTGGGTGGGAGGGCCCTGGGTGGGATGGCCTGGGTGGGAGGGCCCTGGGTGGGATGGCCCTGGGTGGGATGGCCCTGGGTGGGAGGGCCTAGGTGGGAGGGCCCTGGGTGGGAGGGCCCTGGGTGGGAGGCGGGCGCAAGGCGGAGGGGATATATGCATGCGTATAGCTGATTCACGTTCTTGTACAGCAGAAGCTGACACCACATTGCAAACCAATCAGGCTCCACTATAGATAAATAAATGTCTTTAACCAAAAAAATAATATAAATTATAAATTAAAAACTCGCTCAGCAGTGTTTGACTCTTTGTGACTGCATGGGCTGCAGCCCGCCGGGCTCCTCTGTCCATGGAATTCTCCAGACAAGAATACTGGAGTGGGTTATCATTCTCCAGACCCAGGGGTCGAACCTGGGTCTTCAGTGTTGCAGGCATATTTTTACCATCTGAGCATAGGTACAAAACTGACAAATTTGGTTGATGTCCAAAGAACAATAATAAATTGTATTCCACTGGAATAAAAAAGGTCCCATCACTGTATCTTCCAGAAAAAGGCAGTTCTCTTCCCAAGAAGAGTTTTGCTCGAGCTTTTGAAATATTCCCCTCACTGTCACATCTAGTCTCCTCTGTTGGTCTGGTCGCTTGTTTATTCATCAAATGTCTGCCAAGAGCCTCCTGTGTGCCAGACACTGCTTCAGATGCTGGGATCCTAAGTTTGTGTGCAATAGCTAATGAAAATATGTATAAAATCAAATGTAAGAAGGCCTAAACAGAAGGCTTATCTCTTGTAAGGGAGGGTTTGTTCTCCAAAAGCCCCCAAATATTATAAAATCTTAATTTACATCTTGTCTTTGGATGGCAAATTTTGCTAGTAGTTTCCAATAGTTTAAGATGTTTGTAAATTTGTTTTTGCTTTGTGGCTTCCATAATTGAATCCACCATTGCTTATGTTAAGCTTACGAGCATGTGTTTCAAGCTCAAGATTTGCTGTAGAGACACATATGAGGATTCCACCTCCATCTCAGTTTGGGATATTTACATATCCACCAGAGGATTCGCATTTAATTTTTGCAGATTTTTATTCATTTTAGGAGATGAAGATCCAATTGTTTACAAATTTGCCAAACAACATAATAGTTGATCTTCTTTTTTTGTTTTTTTTTTAAAATAAACTGCTTAACTTTGTTACGGACACTCTGTTAAGTGAGTGTGATCTCTCTTAATCCTGGGGTAGGGTTTGCCTGGAATCTCTGGACCATGTAACAGAATGGCATAGCGTTCAATGCCTTGTTTGAGAGAAAGGGAAGTTGATGCAATTTAAAAGATTATCGTGGCATAAGGAATAGTACACAGAAGCTATGATCAACATTCTTTCAAATTTCAGATAGAACTGTGATTATTTCAGTGAATGAATAATCTCTTGATTATACTCTTCAAATGCATAAAATCTAAAAAATCAGGCTGTAAGCCCCAAACCTCTAAGTTCTAATTAATTTGGAGTGAGTATGTGGAAATCCCTTATTATGAGCCAGACAGATGTGGGTTGAGATTGCCTTTCCCCACTATTATCTGCCATGACTTGGGTCATATGGCTTAATTCTCTGAGCCTCAGTTTACTTGGCTGTAAAGTGGAAGCAGTCATGACAATCCCCCCAAAGGTTGTGAAAAGGCTAAAATAATTTATGATTTGTAAAGAGCATATAATGTGAAATTTCAAACATCACAGTGGTTCAAAAAATACCTGAGTCCCCATTTTCTGCAGTCAGGTATACTGTGAGTATGTAATGGCTATTTGTTGAAGTTGTTATGATATTAATAATTAAAATGAGGTATAACATGAGAATCAAATTACTGAAGTTGGAAAGAGGGCTGAAACTGTTCAGACTTAACTCTTTCTTCCTTTCCTGGTCATGGAACTCTTCAAGGACAGATGTCCTGGAATGGCCAATTATTTGCCCAATTTCTTTGTTTCTAACTAAATGATCTGTCAGAACATCCATGCGTTCGTGTTTGGTCGCTCAGTCATGTCCGACTCTTTGTGACCTCATGGATTGTAGCCTGCCAGGCTCCCCTGTCCATGGGATTCTCCAGGCAAGACTACTGGAGTGGGTTGCCATTCCCTTCCCTGGGGGATCTTCCCAACACAGGGACTGAACCCAGTTCTCCTGTGATGCAGGCAGATTCTTTACCATCTGAGCCGCCAGGGAAGCCTGTGCCTCCAGGAAAATAAGATTGTAGATGAGAAAGGAGGAGGATGCCCTTCCTCTGTCTGCTCCGAGCAGGTGAGCTGCACAGTGCTGAGGACGCCTTTCCTGGTTTCTTAGATGTGTCTTAGGACAGAAGGCAAAGCGGGGAGAAGGTGCCCCTTCCAGCCTGCTTTCCCTCTGCCTTGACTTGTAAAGTCCTTGTGAAGCCTTGGAAGTAGATAGAACCAGAGCTCACTGGTTTCCTCGCCTTCCCCGTCCACAGAGAGAACAGCACTTCTTAGCCTCCTTCCCTGTTAGTGGGGTTACCTGTCTCGTTCTGGGTGAGGGTCTGCAGGTGATAGAGCACGTGGCACTTCTGAGTCAGAGCAAAGGATGTGCAGACGTGAAATCTCCATGTTCTTCTTCACCTTCTCTCAGAGGAACCACGTGCCCTGGAGCACTGCCAGGACCCACAGTGGACTTTACAGAAGTGAGAAATAAACTATTAAGGCATTAAAGCCCTGAAATTTATTGACACTTGTCCCTGCCTCATCATCTAGTTGGTCCTGACCAGCAGAGACTCTTTAGGAGAGTTTCAAATGGCATGAGGAGCATTGCATGCTTCCAACAAAATATCTTAAGATTCTGCCAGAGAAGTAGTCCTTTCTTAGCTTATGAGGGATTGAGGTTTGAGGTGGGAGGTGAGAAGAAGGGAAGCAATGAATCAAGACAAACTGCAAGAGAATTACAGCATACAATAGTGCCTGATTATATTTTCTGGGTTTTGAATTAGTTTATAAACTTTTTGCATTCCAGAATTCTCAAATAAATTCTGTTTACTCTTTGCCTAGCTCCAAAGACTCCCCCCGAAGACCCCTGTTTTCAAAATGCCTTGAAGACTGCTTACAGCAGAAAGCAACCGAGTTCCTGTCTATGGCTGGGGTCCTTGGCAATCCAGAGACTTCAAGCTCCTGTTCGTTTGAAATGAAGAAGTTTGGCTCAAGATGTACGGGTGGCAGGCTTACCGCATCAAGTCGTGTGACTGGTTCTGGGAGGCCTGGACCCTCCCCTAGAGGAGCTCACAGTGCAGTGGGGGAGAAAGATGCAGACAAAACTAGCTGCAAAACAAGCTAGCCTGGGGAAGTGCTTCAGTGGAGGCATAAACAAGAAAAAGCTGGGATCCAGAGGAGAGAGAGATCCATTGTTATGGGGGCAGTGGGATGGTGGGAAGACTGTGTTTGAGCTAGTGCTTGAAGGACGAGAAGACCTTGACAGCTTTCTGTGGGAAATGAAAAATGGCCAGTGCTGTATCTCTAGCTTTCTGGATTTTTATTCCTAGGCTGCGGAAACATGAGTTCAGGAGATGTGTGATTTGGGCCTTTTTAAAGCTGATGTAACCAGATTTCTGGGCTAATGGGAACATAGTCATAACATTGTCACCGAATGCCAGAACTTGTTGATATATTTTGCTAAATTGCCCTTATTAATGATTCATCAACTCTTTTTTGCTTCCTGAACTAAAAAAAAAAATCTTGCTATAGAATTTAACCTGCATATCTACACACCCAGCTTTTGGTGCCTGGCAGTCTTCCTAAGCAGCATGTGTTTTCCAGATGTGGTTGTTGACATGCGAATTTTGGAATTCAGCAACAATGAATACTTATAAGGAGAACAGAAAGCTCAGAATAAATCTATGATATACAAAGATCAGTGCTTCTTAACCCGTGGCACCCAGAACATTATTTCTTTCTGGAAATATTCACAGAGGTTAAAAAAAAGGTCTGTGTAGTGTGTGGAGTCCCTTGGACTGCAAGGAGATCCAATCAGTCAATCTTAAAGGAAATCAGTCCTGAATATTCATTGGAAGGACTGATGCTAAAGCTGAAACTCCAGTACTTTGGCCACCTGATTCGAAGAACTGACTCATTGGGAAAGAGCTTGATGCTGGGCAAGCTTGAAGGTTGGAGGAGAAGGGGACGACAGAGGATGAAATGGTTGGATGGCATCACCGCCGCGATGGACATGAGTTTGAGTAGGCTCCAGGAGTTGATGATGGACAGGGAGGCCTGGCGTGCTGCAGTCCATGGGGTCGCAAAGAGTCGGACACGACTGAGCGACTGAACTGAACTGAGCTGAGTGTTTTAAGTCAATGTGTCAGCTATCGATTTATCACCTCTTCATTACAAATGCACCCTGAAGATTACCAGCTCCATCATGGAGCGGTTAAGTCATTCTCCTCTGTAGAGAGCATATTAGGATTTGTCAGTAGAGGGCGCCGGAGAGACGCCGCAGGAAGAAGAGGATGCTCTTCCCGGGCCCGGCGGCTGTTTTCTGCTTGCTTCAGATGCACCCTTGTCAGCAGCTCTGTTCCTCCACTGTAGGTCCAGAGTTTGTGGTTGCTTTGCAAGCTCACAGCCCCCACGCAGCCTGGAGACCTCCTCACACAGTCCTGCTGATGAACACTCCCGGCACTCAGGCTTTGCGCTGCCGGGACAGCAGGGGCTTTGCGGCCTCCCCTCCTGTGCTCTGGAGGTGTGTTTCCTGCTCGCCTGGGCCCTGGGGGGCTCACCTGCGGCCCCATCTAGCGGGCTGCAGCCACGCCTGGTCCTCTGGAGTCCCAGCCGTTGGGAGGGGCTCTCTCGCGCAAGTTTTGTCCTTTCTCAGTTCCTCTTGTGCAGCCCTAGGATATTATTCATTTAAATAATTTTTTTTCATGTTTACCATTTTTTAAAAGTCTTTGTTGAATTTGTTACAATGTTGCTTCTGTATTATGCCTTTTTTTTTTTTTTTTTTTTTTGGCCATCGGGCATGTGCGATCTTAACTCTCCGAGGAGGGATGGAACTCACACCCACCCCTGCGGTGAAAGGTGGTCAACCACTGGATGGCCAGGGAAGCCCCCTAGGGCATTATTTAGAGTTCTAGGTTCATCTTTATAGTTACTCCTTTATGATGTTGGGAAATTCTTTAGTCAGTAATCTTTATATTACGCTTTCCCTGTTCAAGTTCCCGTGGGGCTCCTGTCTCCTCACTGGTCCTCCTGGGACCGTGAGAGATCAGTAGCAATTCTCAAACACTGATTTTCAGGACCCGTCTATACTCTTAGAATTACTGAGGACTCCAAAGAGTTTTTGTTGACATATGTCATATCTCTTGATATTTCCATATAAAAGTGAAACAAAATTTAAACACATGTATTTATTAATTCCTTTAAAATGATAAACCCATTACGTGTTAACTCATATTGAAAAAATGTTTATTTTTCGAACCAGAAGTATTCATGAAAAGAGTAGTATGGATTTACATTTCTGCAAATATCTTTCCTGTCTGGCTTATGAAGACAGTGGATTCTCATATCTGCTTCTGCGGTCTCTTGTGCCATATTGTTTAGGTTTCCCCCTTTCATCGCTTCAAGTATGTTGTGCCATTCCCTTCTGGCTTGAGTTTCTGTTGAAAAATTAGCTGATAACCTTATGCAGTTCCCTGGCATGTTATTTATCATTTTCCCCTTGTTTCTTTTAATAGTTTATCTTGGTCTTTAATTTTTGTCAGTTTGGTTACTATGTGTCTCCATGTGTTCCTCCCGTGAATTTATCCTGCCTGGGTCTCTCTGTGCTTCCGGGACTTGATTGACTGTTTTCTTTCCCACATTGGGGGAGTTTTCAGCTATTATCTCTTCAGATATATCCTTGGGTCCTTTCTCTCCTCTCCTTCTGGGATCCCTATAATGTGAATGATGGTGTGTTTGCTGTTGTCCCCGTGGTCTCTTAAGCCGTCTGCATGTTTTTTTCATTCTTTTTTCTATATTCTGTTCTGTGGGAGCAATTTCCATCATTCTTTCCTCCAGGTCACTTCTCCACTCTTTTGCCCCAGTTATTCTGCTACTGATTCTTTCTAGTATATTGTTCTTCTCTGTTTGCTTGCTTTTTAGTTCTTCTAGTTTGGTAAACATTTCATGCATCTTCTCCATTGTGACATATTAGTTTGAAATTTATGAAGAAAAATTGGCTTCTCAAAGATATATAGTTTGGAAAGTGGGGAGTATTTAAGACACTTCTGAATACTCTCTGATGTAACACAAAAATTCAACAAGTGATAGTTTTCAAGAGGTCAGTTGCAACATGGAATCTGAAATTAAAATTCACTGATCTCTCTTCAGTGTCTTTTACACATGAGTTTTCAGTTTTGAAATTGGTCCTTTGGAAAATACTGGTTCACCGAGTTGTACAGATCCTCTGAATGGTGACATATTTCTTTACATAATATCAGAAAACTACATTCATTAATATCACCACTGATCCCATCAGGGAAAAAAGTAAAAAGTCTTTTTTAGAAAGTGCCAAGGTCACAATGACAGATGCAAGCTTAAAAAAATTAAAATATGCACTTGAATATTAGTATTTTAATATTAATGCTAGCATTAACATTCCAATATTAATTGAATTCTAATATTCACTGAAGTTTAGCATTGGCAGGAAAGTCTTTGACAATTGACTAAGTCTGAGTAACCATAGTTTGTCAGTTACCCTTTCAAATAAAAAAGTTTTTTAAATGAAAAAGTGGCTAATTCAGCTTGTAACTCAAACAATCACAAGTGACTTTCCTCACGTCACAGCTCAGCAAACAGCTTTCTGCCCACCTTCCATTTCATCACAAAGAGTATTAAGAAGATGTGTACTCAAGAGTGAGACCTATAAAATTAATCCCTTTTTCTGTTTCATTAGGTGATAAAGTGAAATTTGCATTTTTTAAAAAAACTTTGAGTGCATGGGTAGAAAATACAGTGAATACTAGCATAGTTTGATGTCACCACTTTGACTGGTGATAAGGACCAGTAGTTTTACCCACCATTACTTTCCTGCCTTTAATGTGTCAACATGGTGGAAAAGGCAGACAATGTCTTAGTATTATTATCGAAATAGTTTTGACTTCTTGGGTACTCTTAAAGAGTCTGGGGACTCACAGGAGTTGAGGACCACACTTTGAGAACCATCAGAACCTTGAAAACAAATGACTACAAAACGTCAGGGGCTTACACCGCAAGGACGCATTATTTCTTGCTGGCACTACATGCCTGTATGACTTGGTTAAAGGCTTGTTTTGTGTCTTCACTTCAGGACCCAGGAATTGGAGCAGACTGTTTCTGGAATACTGATGACATTAGTTTAATTTTATAAAGGTTTAAATTTTTCACCCAATTATTGGAAACTAAATAAATTTGGAAATTTATTCTGTTGAGGGTAAATTGTATGGCATTATGGTGACTCTTGTGAATTAAGTTCAAAAAGTAAACATTAAAAATAAAATTATTTGTCTAACAGAATAAAACAAATGCAATTTTTGGTACAACATAATGTCAAAGTAAAACAGTATTTTTTTTTAATTATGAAGGCTGAATTATAAAGCCTATATTGCAATTTTTTACTTGGGATTGGTTGAATTATACACATAATTCAAAATTGCATCCAAATAAGCTCTAATATTCTACTAATGAAAATAGAGCTTTGCATGTCAAATTTTAAACATTTTTTTGTACGTGCAGTTTGAGTAACTGAACCACACAATTTATTGTAATTAAACTAGTGTCAGATATAAAGAAAAACCTCAGCATGTCAGAACATGCCTTTTTTTTCTTAGTGCCCACTAATAAGCAAATAGTAGAAATGTTTAAATCTACAAACAAGTGTCAACCAAAGCTTTCAACAGTTTCAAAGTTTATGAAATATATAATACAATTTGGAAAAGCAGGACAGGCAATTGTGTGAAAACATTAAAACAGATAAAACCATCCATTCTTTCGAAAATAACTGACATTTTACTAGAGACAGATATGGTTAAGAAATTGAAGTACTCAATGTACTAAGAATAATTATTCTGTTATTTTGAATGTTCAGAAAATCAATGTAAAGAAAGTTTCTCCCATTTTACTCTACTGGTTACATTTTTTTTTTTAGAAAACATTTCATACTTAGAAAATATTACATAGAAATAATACATCTGTGATTCTAGGGGGAGGGATAAACTGGAAGATTGGGACTGACATATCTACAGTACTATTATAAAATATAAAACTTATAAGGATGCTCAGGGAATACTCTGATCTACATAGGTAAAGAATCTAAAAAGAGTGGATATGTTTATATGTGTAACTGATTCACTTTTCTGTGTACCTGAAACTATCACAATTGTGAATGTGACTCCAATGAAAATGTAAAAGATTATGTCTTACACAAAATAGAAATATTTACTTTCAAAAATTCTAGTCATATTTTATTGGCAGTGTCCTTTCTAAAATTAATTTTCACTGGAATACAATTGTTTTAAAGTGTTGTGTTAGTCTGCTGTCTGGCAAAGTGAATCAGCTGGACATATATACATACATATAATCCCCTCTTTTTTGGATTTCCTTCCAGTTTAGGTCACCACAGAGCACTCAGTGGAGTTTGCTGTGCTCTACAGTAGGTTTTCATTAGTTATCTAAGAAAATATTTACTCTTGAAAACAGTTTTTTGAATAGAACAATTTTATAGGTCTACCGATTGAAGAAAACCAGTTTGTTGGTCAGTAACTAAATATTTCAAAATTATATGAGGTCACCTTAAAACATACTACTTTAGAGAATGCCTGACAACTTCCTTTCCCATTCATCTGCCGAAGGACATCTAGGTTGCTTCCATGTCCTAGCTGTTGTAAATAGTGCTGCAATGAAGGTTGGGGTACATGCATCTTTTTCAATTCTGGTTTCTCATGGTACATGCTCAGTAGGGGGACTGCTGGGTCGTATGGTAGTCTTATCCCTAGTTATTTAAGGAATCTGCATACTGTTCTCTATAGTGATTGTACCCTTTTGTGTCCCCACCAACAGTGTAAGAGGGTTCCCTTTTCTTCACACCCTCTCCAGGCACATTACTCAGCTATAAAAAAGAATGCATTTGAGTCAGTTCTAATGAGATAGATGAACCTAGAGCCTATTATACACAGCGAAGTAAGTCAGAAAGAGAAAGTACCATATATTAATGCATGTATATGGAACCTAGAAAGATGGTACCAACGGTCCTACATGCGGGGCAGCAAAGGCGACACAGACATAAAGAACAGACTTTTGGACTCAGTGGGAGAAGGAGAGGGTGGGATGATTTGAGAGAACAGCCCTGAAACATGCACATTACCATATGTAAAACAGATAACGAGTGAGAGTTTAATGAAAGATGCAGGGCATGTAATGTGGTGCTCTGTGACAGCGGGTGGGATAGGGTGGGGAGGGAGGTGAAAGGGGAGATCAGGATGTAGGGGACACGTGTATACCTATGGCCGATTCATACTGATGTATGGCAAAGACCATCACAACACCATAATTATCCTCCAATTAAAATAATTTTAAAAATGTCCCCCAACTTTATTTGAAGGATATATTTTATGGTCATTCTCGGGATGGGTGTGATCAGTTCCGCTGGAAATCCACAAGCTGAGAAGGAGAGATGAGGGCCTCTTTGAAGGGAAATAAACACAAGTTTCTGGGCAGACAAAAGCGGCT